ACCCTGGAGCCTGCTTCCGATTCTGTGTCTCCCTCTCTGTCTGCTTCTCCCCTGCTCATGCTTTCTCTCTGTCTCTCAAAAATAAATAAACGTTAAAAAATTAAAAAAAAAAAACCTGTTAATGGCATGTTCTAGGCACCGTAGACAGAGCTACAATCTGGCTCCTACTCGCACAAAACACTTACATTGCTGTGGGGGAGAATGGCATAAAACAAGACATTTCCTTTGTGAGAAGTGTCAAAGAGAAAGATACGCAGGTCACTGCACTGGCCTGTAGAGAAGGTATCTCCTGTCCCCGAACCTCACTCCATCCCGAGCCTCAGAAATGGTGTGGGGACGCCTTTGAATACATTCCTTTCTGACTTAAAAGCCTGGACACGTAACGCTTTTGGAGACTGCAAAACTGGTCTGAGTGGGAAAATATTCCCGGCATCCAAACCGTCTCACCAAAACACCTCGTGAACATTTCCCCACTTTTCTCGTTTTGAAGGCCTCCGAAACTAAAGACTTACGTTATAAATTTATTATAAAGGACAAAGGCATTTTCCAAATTTCCTTCTTCCATATACACCGAAGCCATCCTTTCCATCTCTACTCCGGATCTGAAGTAGCGGCGTGGGGTGATGTCCTCCGTGATGGTGATATTACAGCCGAGCTTGCTCAGGGCACGGACTCGCTCTTCCGGACTGAGGGAAACATCCGTGTGGTCAGGCATGGCAGCTAGCTTTCTCTGCAAAGCAAAATTTGAATCTCTGGTTATGGTAAGAAATGAACAGGACTGCGATTCTGGATGTATCTTCTGTACTAAGTACCTGACACCAGTACCCAAGGAGAAAGAGTTAACGTAAGAGTTAACGGTAAGAGTTAACGTATAAAGAGTTCCATAAGAGTTCCGTATAAAGAGTTCCATAAGTTAACGATAAAGAGTTCCTAAAGAGTTAACGATACGACGGGGCGCCTGGGTGGCTCAGTCGGTTAAGCGTCCGACTTCGGCTTAGGTCATGATCTCACGGTTTGTGAGTTCCAGCCCCAAGTCGGGCTCTGTGCTGACAGCTCAGAGCCTGGAGCCCGCTTCGGATTCTGTGTCTCCCTCTTTCTCTCTCCTCCCCCGCCATGCTCTGTCTTTCTCTTCTCAAAAATAAATAAACATTAAAAATTTTTTTTCAAAAAGAGTTAACGATACAACAAAAGCGAAGCCTTTGTGTGGCAAGTGTATGTAACACTTAAAAATGCAATGATTGTAAGCCTTGTTCCAATGCTACTTATATGCAGTTCCCAACCTCTGTGTCATGAATAGTGCCTTATGCAATAAAATTTGTTTGCAGGTCTTTAAACATCATTTTAGGAAAGGGTGGTCAAGATAATGCATCCGGCGGGACAGTAAAAGCAAACCATAAAAAAATAGCTCAGGAAAGAACTGAAAGAAAGAATGGAAAGAATCTAATGACATGCCTGTATGAAAATCATAGCCTATAAATGAATTTATGGCCTTTGCAGATTTTTGTATTAGTTACTTTGGAAAGAAAATATTGTACTGCTGTCCTTGAAGGACACAGTTGAAGAGAGGTTTTTTTTTTTTTTTTAATGTTTTTATTTATTTTTGAGAGAGAGAGAGAGAGAGAGAGAGGGGAAGGGGCAGAGAGAGGGAGACGCAGAATCCGAAGCAGGCTCCAGGTTCCGAGCCGTCAGCACAGAGCCCGACGCGGGGCTCAAACCCACGAACTGTGAGATCATGACCTGAGCAGGAGTCAGTGCTTAGCTGACTGAGCCACCCAGGCGCCCCTGGTACAAATTCTTACTAGGCCTCCGCCCGCATCTAGAGATTGGAGTCAGGCTCGAAGAGCCTGTGTTTGAACTGATGTCCCCAGAGGTCCTCGCGCATGCTGCAGCCGAGGAAGCACTGGATTAGACCACTTCACCATGCTTACCACCTTTCGATGCAACAAGAATGGAATTAGCCCAGAGCAGAATTAGGTCTCCAAGTCTGCCTCCGTCAGTCGAGGGTCGGTGGACTACAGTCTGGGCAGAGCACGTGATGAAAAGGTATGTGGACAGCTAAACAATTAATTGAGCTAGACATGGTTTCCGTCTGGCTGTGAGTGACGGAGCCAAGATTCAAGGACAGGGTGCAATGAATCGGACGTTTGCAGGTCTTGCAATGGCCTGAGGTCTGTTTTGGTGGCAGTTTTGAAGCAGAGAGGACCCCAGGGACCTGGAATCATTCTTCCAGAAAGTATGCTCTATAACCAGCCAGAGAAGCACAAACACGTTCTCTCTGTTTCCTTCTCCCTGAGAAAACTCAGGGCCTGGGCTTCTCTGCCCTGAACGTCTCCAGCTATCGCTCCCGGGACTGGGTGCCCAGGTCAATTTAGAACAGAAGGGACAGGGGCGCCTGGGTGGCTCATTCGGCTTAGTGTCCAACTCTTGATTTCAGCTCAGGTCATGACCTCACAGTTCATGAGCTCGAGCTGTGCATCAGACTTTGGGCCGATAGTGCAGAGCCTGCTTGGGATTGTCTCTCTCCCTCCTTCTCTCTCTCTCTCTGCCCCACCTCCCTCAAGATA